AGTGCCTCTAAAACTTTTCCACCGAAGTACCCCTAGCAGCAGTGAAAATGAATGGTACCCCCCTGGGGGATCTGAGGGCAAGCTGGAAGTTTCTTTGAAATACCCTATTTTATCTTAAAAATTCATGAGAACTTTGCATTTTACAAAACAGGAAAGTCTATGTTTGTTTTAAAATAAACGCTGCCTCCATAGTAAAACTAGATGCTTTCCCACAAATAACCATGTGAATCAACCCTCCAGGAAACAAGTGCAGCATCGGGCCCCCAGGCCCCGGCTCACGACCCCCGCCAGCGCCCAGTCTGAGAAGCCTGGGGGTCAGCATCTAAAGATCTCCGCAGTGCAAAATGCTATAACCATTTAAGATTTGAACATTTAGGATTTTTATACTTTAGAGAACAGGAAGACGAGCTAATAGAAAAGTGGATGGGGGCTGAGAAGGTGGTGGGAAGTCCTGAGGCGCACCATCCAGCTGGAAAGGGAGGTGAGTACGGATCAGGGATGGACCAGAGACACCAAGGGGCTGAGGTCCAGTCCGCAGAGGCCAGGAACGTGAGCGCTGAAGCGGGGGCACGCTTGGGGAGCACGCCCCTCAGTGTGCACATCCCTCCACAGCACTCCGACTGCTATTCCACTCGGGCAGACGTGCTGGCTCAGGATGCCCACAACCGCACACCTGAGTGCTTCTAGGAAGGAACGACTGAGAATGGCTGGAAATGTTCCTCACAGGACCATCTACACTCAGGTCCAACCTGGGCTCCCTGGACCCACGAGGGTCTGTGAGCATGAAGACGAAGGGCCTGGCTCAGGCTCAGGTTCTGATTCTATCCCTGTCTACTGCGTGGGACCGTGGGCCCATCACGAGCTGGATGTGCTCCAGTTTCCACCACTGGAATACGGGGACGATAAATAATGGTCCGGTTCACAGACGGCTGTGGGGACGGGGCGTGCTGGAGTCATGGCCAGCACAGAGAAATGCACCCCGCCCTGATAAGGCACGGCCTAACTGTTGGCTCTTATGACTATTGATACTGCCTCAATTACACACTTTGAATTTAAAAACAGATATGCTCCAGCCAGTGTAGCTCAGTGGTTAAGCATCGACCCAGGCACCAAGAGGTCGCCGGTTCGATTCCCAGTCAGGGCACATGCCCAGGTAGTGGGCATGCAGGAGGCAGTCAATTGATGTTCTCTCTCATCGATGTTTCTATCTCTCTCTCTCTCTCCCTTCCCCTCTCTCTAAAATCAATAAAGAAAAATAAAAAATAAAAATACAAATGCAGCCCTGGCCAGTTTGGCTCAGTGATTAGAGTGTCCCCCCTCAGACCAATGAGTCTCCGGTTCGATTCTGCTCAAGGGCACGTACATCAGTTGCAGTTCGTCCCAGGCCCTGGTCGGGTCGCGGAGGCAACCAGTTGATGTGTCTCTCTCACATCGATGTTTCTCTCTCTGTGCCCCCCCCCCAACTCTGTCTGATGATGAATAGAAAAATACCCTCAGGTGAGGATTTAAAAAAATAATAATAAATAAAAATAGATATGCAATTCTCCTTAGTCTTGTCTTCTCTTGGCAAAATATCCTTAGTCCTTTAAATGTCCCTCTGACATGGCTCCAAACCTCTCCCTAGGTGGAAGCACCGCTCCCTGGAACATGCCTGAGTCTGCCAGTGCCCTACCTGAAACGGGCCACCAGGCTGACTTCCTCCTCGGACGGCCTGTGGATCAACACTACCCTGGATGCCGTGTCTCGCCTCTATCCCACGGCGCCAGGTGTTTATGCTCCACCTTACACCCCTCACTTCCCTAACACCTCCCCCGCCACAGACTTTCTGCAGATGGTTTTCCAAACTGAAGCATGGAATTTTCTATTCCAATAGATTTCATCTTCTTCTTCTTTTTTCAATCCTCACCTGAGGACATTTTTCCAGTTTTTTGTTCAGATAGAGTGGGAGGGAGAGAGAGGAAGAGAGGGAGAGAGAAACATTGACATGAAAGGGACACATTGAGTGGCTGCTTCCCGCACGACCCAACCAGGGCCGGAGACAAACTGCAACCGAGGTACGTGGCCTTAACCAGAATCGAACCTACGACTCATTGGTCCATGGGCCGATGCTCTAATGGCTGAGCCAAACCAGCCAGGGCAGATTTCATCTTCATAATTGCAGCTGTTTAAACTCCAAGCAAGAAGGAAACTTCTGCATCATCATCCAGTGACTGACACACATAGAAACCCCACCTCGGGTGACACTAGTCATTCAGAGACGGCCCTTCAAACTATCACATATCCACACAAATGTATCAATATCAAAATCACAGTTTCCTATATTTCCTTTGAAAAGGACTTGTCGGGGGCTCAGTGAAGTCTAGATTCTACAGTACATCTAGTCCTCTTTCCTTATCCACCAGCCTGGCCACCTGTTCAAAGGAGGAAATTAGCTCAATTTAATCGGCTTCCTTTTTAATGAACATGTGCTGGCTTGTAAGGACACTGCCACTCACCTACTCTTTTTCCTGATACATTTTCACAGTAAAACAAACAAACAAACAAAACTTAACATCGGGGAAATACTGTTTCAGTTAACACAATTTTCTGCTGAAAAAAGTTTTTAAAATTTGTATATTCTCATATATATAGATAAACACGCTCCTAAAATCTACCAGCTTACACTTCTGCCTTCATCTTTTCTTAGTGGGTTTCTGCCTGGAGACTCTATTCTCAACATCAATTCTAAGTACAGGCCCATAGATACAGGAAGGATAAAAATGGGTGAACTCTACCCTGGCCAGTTTGGCTCAGCGGTTAGAGCGTCGGCCTGCGGCACAGAGAGACCCGGGTTTGGTTCCCGCTAAGGGCACGTACCTCAGTTGCAGTTTGTCCCCGAACCTGGTTGGTCGTGCAGGTGGCAGCCACTTGATGTGTCCCTATCATATCAATGTCTCTCTCTCTCTCTCTCTCTCTCTCTTCCTCTCTCTCTCCCTCTCTCTCCCTCCCACTCTATCTGAACAAAAAAAATGGAAAAGTGTCCTCGGGTGAAGATAAAAAAAAAACAAAAAACAAACAGGTGAACTCTGCTCCAACCTGAGAGATCCATGGGTGGTTTTGATGTTTCTGTTATACATTTGTATAACATATATATTATTTGTTTTTCATGAAAATGAAATACAGTAAAATTGAGGTAACAGGGTATGGTTTCTATTAATAGTATGAATTCTTTAAAGAATTAATCAATTTTCCCTATTAAGTGTTTTTGTACCAAGACTATAAAAGATAAAAGTTGGGTAGATTTTGAAATCATTCTGAGAAAAACTGTTGAAGCTTAACATTCTTTCAAACAAATTTACATGCATTTGTACACTAAAAAAGTGACTGTCACATTAAAACAAAGACTGCCACTGTCATAATATGAAAGTGGGAGGTGCAGAAAAGAAATCAACCATGATCCCATCATCTGACAAATAATTAACATCATTGTTTAAATATTCCTGTCTGATTTTCAAGGTTAAGGATAATTGGGCCAGAGGGTGTAAACATTTTATATGACTCTTGGTAGATTCTACCAAAATCCTTCCACTAGCAATATATGCCACTGGTGATATATGAAAACACCAATTTTACTAAACTTTTGCCAACTTTAGATGATACATTACTGTCAACTCTAATTTGAATTTTTATTAACACCAAAGCTAAAGATGTTTCTACATGATTGTTTACTCAATTCATTTCTTATATATTTTCCTTCTTTGCAGAACAGTCCAGATAATGAAAATAACAAAGAAGGGCCAATATGCAAATTTTGTCTTTATAACTATTTTGCCTGTGAAAATAACTCAGGTATTTTGCCAACATGTTAAGATTAAAACTACAACACAACAACCATAAGGCCAAATGTCAGATCAGACTTCCTGTTCATGGAACCCAAGTGATCCACTAATTGCCATCACTCACGAGAAGAAATAAAGTTTAGTAATCACAATAAGTTAATTAGTTCATCATGTAAAATCCACTTAATAAGGGATTAAAATATAATAATGAAAAAAATTATTTAGGTTTCTAAACTAAAAAGGTTCAAATATTGTCTTTAGAAAAAATTTTCTTAACTAAGTTAATTAATGTTTTTTCAAATGTTAAGGAAACAAGGCAAGCAAATTAGACAAGTAAAAATTGACAGCCCACCTTAAATATGCCAAGAATTTGCAGAAATATTCTTAAAAGACAAAAATAAGATCTTTTTATTAACAAGTGGCAAACACAGACACTGCCCCCTACCTCCTGGCCCTCTCCTAACTCTGTCCCCTCATCTCCTAAGCTGAACCTTCTTCCCTACACTCCTGCTCAGCCAGCCTTTATTACCACTTTTGTCCCTTAAACACTCCAGCTTGCAGTCATCTCAGGATCTTTGAGTTTGTTCTTCTCCTAGCCTGGATTATTACTGCTCCAGAGACCTCAGGGCTGGCTCCGCCCTGGCCCTTGGGGTTCTCAGCACAAAGTTCCCAGCTCCCAGGGCATCTCTGACCACCTGTCAAGGCTGCAGCCTCCTTCCACCCTCCACCTGGCAAGGTCTATGGACACACCCTCTTCTCTTGGCACGTCACTCTTTGAAATCATTCCCTATTTTATTTAAGGGCTGGCTGCCCACCAAACTGTAACTTCTGTTTGCAGCTCTGCCCAGCTTCGGCAGCAGTATTCGGTACATAGGAGGTACTCCAAACTATTTTTTAAATAAATAAGTCACACTTGTGCTCTGACAGGAAGAGAACTCAAGAATCACAACGAATGTTTCAATTCAATATTTAGATTTAAAAACTGTCAGAATACACGTCAATGGAGAGTTAAAATTCTGTTTCTGTATTTTATTAAAACAAGTATTTTAAATATTTCATATGCATTGGTGATAATGTTACAGTAATATTTTCAATGTGCAGAGATTCTGTGATGTAAAGAAGTATTTTAAAGAGATTCTCAGGCATTAAAATGTGATGGCATCGCTGGAACAGCAGCCCTACCTGCTGTTCGTAGCGTCGCTTGACATCCTCCATCTGCCACAGAAACTCCTTTGATTGTTTCTCGCGAAGAGACTTGGATCTAGTTAGATCTGCTTCCACTTTTTCCATCTATAAAATTAAAAAATCAAACATCAAATTTTTAAACAAAAATTATATTCCATGTTTTTATTTGTCCATTCACAAAAATGACAAACTTAAACACCTCACCAATCATAATGATGAATTTAAAGATGATAAGAATAATAAAAGATATATCAGTTATTTTGGTATATTTTAATGGTTTAAGTCAGGAAAGTTAAAAAGTAATATATAATTGACTCAATTCTAATGTTATAGGAAACACTGTAATGGAAATATAACTTTGAACATTCAAATATTTATTCAACACAATTTTATCAAAGCCTTGATATGTGCTGAATGGGAGAAAATATTTGCAAGCCATGTATCTGATAAGGGACTTATATCTAAAATATATGAAGAACTCATAATAAACAAGCAGTTGACCCGACTTTTAAAATGGACAAAGTAACTAAAAAGACATTTCTAGGTTTCTAGCTATACAAATGGCCAACAAGTAAATATTTGAAAAAATGCTCAATTTCACTGTTACCAGGCAATTCCAAATTAAAACGATGACAAACCACTTGGCACCCACAAGAATGGCTACAGTAAGAAAGACTGATAATAACAAGTGTTGGCAAGGCTGCGGAGAAATCAGAACCCTCACATACTGCTGGTGGGATGTAAAATGATGTCGCCACTTTGGAAGAGAGTTTGGCAGTTCCTCTAAAGGTTACACAGAGAGTTACCACTTGAACCAGGAATTCCACTCTTAGGTGAGAAATGAAAATATACACCCACACAAAAGCTTAAATCACATGCTCAGAGCAGCACTACTCATAACTGTGAAAAAAAAGAAACAACCCAAGTATCTATCAGTTATGAATGAATAGACTGAATTTGGTATATCCGTATAATTATTTTGCCATAAAAAGAAATAAAGTACTAATACATACTACAACATGGATGAATCTTGACAACACGCTAAGTGAAAGAAGCCAGTCAGAAAGACCATGTGTTGTATAATTCCATTTATATTACATTTCCAGAATAGGCCAATCCACAGAGACAGAGCAGATTCGTGCTGTCTAGGGTGAGAGGAGGTGGGGGGAGGTGACTTTTCTTTGGGGAGTGATAAAATCTGTAATCGTGTATTGGTCGCACAACTCTGTGAATATATTAAAAGCCCTTTAACTGGACACTTACAGTGAGTGAACTGTTGGTATGTGAATTATATCTCAATACGGTTGTTCTAAAAAGTCAAAGTCTCCACCTCAGTCTAGGCGGCCTCACATGATCCAACCCCAGGTATCTCAGCTCCTCTGTACTAGTCTCCACCTCCATGTCACCACCGGCCAGCACGCCTGCCTCCTTGCGAGGCCTGACACATGCCGGGAATGCTCTCACTTTGGGGTCTAGAAGCTCCCTCTCCCAGATATTCACATGGCTTCTTTCTCAAAGTCTTAAAGCTCTGCTTGTTACCTTTGTCTGAGCTTCCCTGACCACCAGCCCTTACCTTGCAGCCCTCTTCCAGTCCCTCCAGTCGCCCTTCTTTGCTTTACTGTTTCTTTTCCCCTAGGACACATCTCCTTCAGGTACACTATACAAGCAGCATATTCATTAGGGGTGGTTAGTGTCTGTCTGCCCCCTGGAACACAACTCTGTGTGCACTCATGCACCCCAACCAGTTAGCGCACTGCCTAACATGTACAGAGACTCAATAAATACCAATCTAATAAAAATTTTTAAAAGACACAGTGTACCCAACCTGATTTGAAATTTGTTGAACAATTTTCAACATTTAATAGTACTAGAGTCTTTGTAACATACAAAATAAATAAAATACTGTTGAAAATTATGTTGTCCATCACTCAGGAAATTAGATAATATGTTACTGTCCTTACTCTTCTTATCAGCTGCTCTCTGTATGCAACAGGAAGAGAGTCTTAAATATAGTAATGAAAAAGCTCTCTGTACCAGTAACATGAAAATGGCACCATTATTCAAAGTTGTGCAGTATTTCATTCGTCTTTCTACCCCTGGCTTAATTTGGAGAAATCTTTTTTCCAAGGTAATTGTCAGGTAATGTGGCAACCATTCTATCACTGGCTACTTTATATTATTCTTCTGCCTCACTGATGTGTTGAGGTCTTTCTTCTTTTCAGCTTATACACAATGCCCTCTTTCAGGTTACCTTCTGGTAGGTGCTAAGATTAGATAAAAGATGGGTATTAGGGTAAATGAACCATTAATATGCTTCCTTCACAATTTTTCGTGTTACATTTGAAAAAAACATTCAAACGTGCTAATTCAGCGTGATTAAATGGGAAGGTTCCAGGAGTGAAGGCGTTCACTGAAAAGCAGCCAGTTTCATGGATAAGAACAAAGTGCATCGGACCTCCCACTATAGCAGTCTAACAACACCTTAAGAAGTCTGGAGTAGCTAGAGATCATGACATGACATTTAGCATGGAAATATTTCCTTGTAAATACCAAAGATAGCAACATTGATAATATCAAGTGATTAGCTGCCAATTTCAACAAAATTCTAAGATCATTGATCCATAGGTAATCAGTATGGTGTTCAAAAATAAATTTACTAAGAAATCATTAAAGGAAGCACAGTCAAGTCCACTTTGTTTTCACGTCTCTAACTCCAGATGTGGGTTTCAAGGCTCTCCCTCAATGCTTTTCACATTAAACCTCAGGCAGGTGGCTCCTTACTTTGTCCTCAGCAATCTACACTCCAATGCCCTGGGTGTTTCCCAAACAAGCCAGGGCTAGTCTTGATCCTCCCACTATCAGCAAAGCCCCTTCCTGTTTTTCCTCATCCAAACAGTCAATCTTCAAGGTCAAATCAAGTCTCTCTTCTCTGAGGTGGCCTTTAATCCCACCAGCAGAGAGGCATGCTGACCTTCTCTCTGAGCTCTAGGACTCAGCGTCTTTATTTTCCAGGACACTGTTTTTCTCTATAGTATGGAAGTGCTTCAAAGGTTTGAGTTTCACTTATTCACCTAGATCCTAAGCTCCCAAGTAAAAGGAACTATGACAAAATTCTTTCTTTTGAATTCTAATTATTAACTAATTGCCTTGGTATGCATAATAAATATGTATTCAAGCCCTGGCCGGTTTGGCTCAGCGGTTAGAGCGTCGGCCTGTGGTTCAGACAGACTCGGGTTTGGTTCCCACTAAGGGCACGTACCTTGGTTGTAGTTTGTCCCCGGCCCTGGTTGGGTCGTGCGGGTGGCAACCACTCGATGTGTTCCTTTCATGTCGATGTTTCTCTCTCTCTCCCCCTCCCACTCTATCTGAACAAAAAATGGAAAAATGTCCTCGGGTGAGGATTAAAAAAAATAATAATAGCCCTGGCCGGTTTGGTTCAGCGGTTAGAGCGTCGGCCTGCGGTCCTGAGAGACCTGGGTTCGGTTCCCGCTAAGGGCGTGTACCTCGGTTGCAGTTTGTCCCCGGCCCTGGTCGGTTGTGCGGGTGGCAGCCACTCGATGTGTTCCTTTCACATCGATGTTTCTCTCTCTCTCTCTCTCTCTCTCTCTCTCTCTCTCTCTCTCTCTGTTCCTCTCTCTCCCTCCCACTCTACCTGAACAAAAAATGGAAAAACGTCCTCGGGTGAGGATAAAAAATAATAATAATAATAATAATAATAATAATAATATGTATTCAATCCTTAAGGATAAATGACAGGGCAGGCAAAAGGGGAAGAAAAAAAGAGAAGATTAATCAAGGTGGGAAGACATGGTTTATCTAGTACTTTTAAGAGAGATCTTTATTGAAATTGATGTTTGGTTCTCATTTCCCTGCAGCACAGAATGAATATGAAAATAAATAATAAACATGTAAATATTTCAAATATTAAATACTTAAGATGAAAATTAAGATCTTTATATACTCAAAGTTTATAAAACAGAATACCTTCTATCAATAAATAGAATTATCTTCTATCATCAAAACAGCAAATAATGTCCTAGCTGGTTTGGCTCAGTGGTTAGAGTGTCCACCCACAGACCAAAGGGTCTCAGGTTCGATTCCCAGTCAAAGGCACATACCTGGGTTGCAGGTTTGATCCCCCACCCTAGTCAGGGTCATGTGGGAGGAAAGCAATTAATGTGTTTCTCTCACATCAATGTTTCTCTCTCTCTCTCTCTCTCCCTCCTTCCCTTCCACTCTCTCAAAAAGTGAATGGACACTGAGGGAAATAGCACACAATTTAAAGCACATAGAAAGACCCTTTATGCCTAAACTTAAGAAAAATTCAAAATAAATAATAACTGATAAGATAATGAAATATGTGCTATTTTAGATTATACTGACCGAAAATGCAAGAGCCCACTCCATTCTTATTCCACAATTTAACAAAAGAAAAATCAAAAAACAATTCTTGTAAAAAAGTTTCTATAGAAACACAGAGTTCTTAGTTGCCATAGATACAAAAGATTCTGCTTTATCATACATCATTCCATACTCCATTCAACGTCAAACGTTTAAAACAAATAACACACTCTTTTATTGTGTAACTCCGGCTTCCAAAAACCTCTGAGTAAAAATGGTGGTCAAATTAGGAGCAGAGAAGGGCTTGGCTATATTTCTATGAATGGCTGGTGTTTAAAGCAGGAACAAAGAGATAAAAGAGGGGCTGATTTTCCTTACATGGGGCCTCAGGCATTACTTTAGCTACATGTAAAAGAAAACCCAAGTATCCACAGCTTAAACAACATAGACCCTTTCTGTTTTCCTCATGTAACAGAAAGTTCAGAAATGGGCTGCTACACTGATAGTTCAAAGATGTCAGGGTTAAGGTCTCTGCCATTCACCCTTCCCATAATGGTTGGGAAATGGCTTCTGGAGCTCTGAACACCTGGGAAAGAAAGGGCAACGGGTGAAGGGGGAGGGATGAGGGCCAAGGGTCCCTATCAGTCGACTCGAATACCCTTTTAAGGGGCTTTCCTGCAGGATTCTGTCAATAGCAAATTAATTATACCGTGTGCATCTGATTCACTGGAACGACGTTAATAAAGGCAAGCTCCACCTCCAAG